GAGCCCTCCCACGGGGGTCAGTCCCCGCCCGGGGCTCAGTCCCCGCCCCGCCCGCCCGGTAGGTCTGGCCGCGGAGGAGCCGGTCCCGGGGATGCTGCCGGGACAGCCCTAGGCCGGGAGAGGAGATACGGGGAGAGAGGAGGCTCTGAGAGCGGCGGTGGCTCAGCCCAGCTCCTTCCCTGCTCAGGACACACCACTCCACTGCTGGGTATGTCTCTTGTTCAACATTTATTATTTAGTCCTCCCGCCTCTGCTCTACTTTTCCCCGTTGCTCTCTTTTATTTCCTTTTCCGTTTCCTCATCACTGGCGTTTCCACGTGCTTCTGTATCACTCTCGGCTTCCTCTTTTGGCTTTTCCTCTTGATTTCCTGTGTCTTGTTCCCCTTCCTCCCTCTCTCTGTCCTTCTCCAACTTGTTTTTTGTGTTTCCTGTATCGTTCCCATTTTCTTCTTTTGGCCTTTCATCTTGATTTCCCATGTCTTGTTCCCCTTTCTCCTTCTCTTTGTCCTTCTTAAGCTTGTTGTTTTTTGTGTTTTTTCTATCATTCTTGGCTTCTTCTTTTGTCTTCTCATCTTGATTTCCCACACGTTGTTCCCCTTCCTCCCTCTCTCTGTCTTTCTCCAACTTGTTTTTTGTGTTTTTACGGCTGGAGTCACGATCTGGGGAGGAATAAGCAAACTTAAGCCAAGTCCCAGCACTCAGCAGTCAGGCTCAAGAAAGGTCCCTCGGCTCACTCACTCCCACCAGGAATCTCTTGCTCCCCGTTTGCTGGGACAGGAGGTGCTGGGAAGCAGCACTGAGAGAAGCAGCCCTGGGGGCTGCAGGCACAGCACCCTGCCAGGACCCCTCGCCAGGCCCAGGGAGGGCCGGTGTGTCGGTGACACCGGGCCCGGGGTGCAGGGGACACTCAGGGAGCGCTGCCGTCTGGACTTGCACCAAGATTTTAATTCACTGCTTGGAAGGAAATGGGTGCTGTGGGAATTCTAAGGTGCAGCTGCTGTGCTCCAGAAGAGGAAAATGGGGAGTTTTTCCATTTCTGGGTGCAGAGGTGGGAATGACAAGTACCTTTCTGTGAGGGAACTGTCGCTTCTTTGCCGCCTTTGCTCAGCTGCTTGATGTAGCTTTTGCTCACCTTATCCAAGGCCTGAAAGGGATGTGGCTCTTAATAAAAGCCCTGGAAATGCAGTTACATACCCAAGTTTTTCCTGTTTTCTTTTGCCCTCTGCTGTCATTAGCTGGTCCTTTCCTACCACAAAACTCTTCATTTCTCCAGCATTACTGCCTGGAGTATCCCAGCTGGGATAACAGCTGCTCATGGATGCTGCCCTGAGCTCCTCCTCCCTGCAGCAGCCCCCTTACCACAATGATGGTGTTTTGAGCAGCTTGGTCGGGCACGAGCTTCGCCTTCTCCAGGGCCTTTTCAAAGTTCAGGATCGCAGACCGGTAATCCTTTAATTTCACTGGAACAGACAAGGATATCAGCTGGTTTAACCCAGGATCAGGAGAACAACCAGAGGTAATCACACCAGTCTTGATCTGAGGGGTTGCTTTGGCTGTTAAATCCCAGAGAGGTTTTCAGAACGGCTTCTCCACCCTGAGAGCAAAACCTGTGCCCACCCCTTTACCTTGTGCCTGTGCCACCAGCACAGTGGCGTGGAGCTGCCACTCCACATCTCCCTCTTCATCCGCTGACTCCAGAGACTTCTCTCCGCAGTCTTGGGCTGTTTCAGCTTCACCCAGCTCGAGGTAACACCGGCCGATGTCATGGAACAGACAGGCCTTCTCCAGGCTGGATTTTGCCATTGGAATCCTCTTCTCCCAGCTTCAAGCAGAGTAAGACAGGCAGTTACCGACTGTCGCTGGATGCAGTTATGATTCAACCACTGATTTGATAACTGAGGGTTCAGGTATGAAAACTTCCCCATCCCCTGCTGCAGTGGGAACACACAGCTGCACAGCCATGGCCCGGGTCACTCCAGGCCCCCACTGCCCTTCCTGCTGGGCTGTACTCACGTGTTGATGGCCTGCTGGAACCTGCTGGTCCGGGCGTACACGCGGCCGATGTTGTCCAGGGCCCGGGACACGGAGTCGGGCAGAGCACTGTGACAGGGAGACAGAGGGATTGTGGCACTGGCATCGTCCTGCTCCTGACTCACTCTGAGTCCCTCTGGTGCTCCCCATGGCCTCGGGGAAGTGTTGGGGAGTAAAGGACCCAGGTCAGGCTGAAAGCCATGAAATTAAAGTCAGTTTTTGATTGACTGACCCCCATGGGACACAGGGGAAATGGTTTAGCTTTATCTTTGATTATTGTTATTTTTTGTGCAAATCTGGCATTCCTTGTAAAAGTCTTTCCATTTTTCTTTGTCCCAGTTTCCATCTGGGTCCCCGACATTCATGGATGATCTCTGTCTTCCAAAGGGAAGAGCCAAAAATGTGTCTTCAGTCTCCTGGCACCAGCCCTGCTCCCCGTGCTTGGACTGAGCTTTGCTCCATGCCACAGGCGGCTCCTGTAACAACGGAGCCTGTGGGCTTTAACTTTTTTCCTTAATTATCCTCATTCCCATCTTTGGAAGTGGCTTTGCCTACCCTTACCTTAGAGAAGGAAAAACCCATGAGTGGAGCAGCCAAATGAGACGGGAATCATGGAATAACCGACTGGTTTGGGTGGGAAGGGGCCCTAAGGCTCATCCAGTTCCAGCCCCCCCGCCACGCGGTCATTAACGGGAATCATTACCGAGTCATTAAGAGTCATTAACGGCGTTTCCAGCTGCAGCCGCCAGAGGGCGCGGCCCGCCCGTCACAGCGGCCTTCGGGTCCTTAAAGGAACTTTAAAAGGGTCCTAAAACCAGGTATCTCCTCCTGCCTCTCTCCTGCTAATTCCTGCCTTTATCTGGTGTACCCGGGGATTGGGATCACCAGGAGAAAGGCAGCCATTTCCTAAAACAATACTCATTTCCAAAGGGATTTTGGAAAATGAGAAACTACCCGTCAGTGACATTTTGAAATCCCGGTGCAGTATTGGAAAAAATAACCCCCAAACCACTTCAATTCAAGCCACTATTCCGTGTTCTCTCATGTGCTTTGCAAACTGTTACTAGACTACATTTTGCTCCACTGTGGTTCAGCTGGAAGAGCTGCAGGATGTGTCCAGTGTGGGCAGGTAAGTGCACCTCGGAGAGATATTTATTTCAAGCTGCTCTCATGGTCTGAATGAAAAGGGTTTTAAGACAAAATGGAGCAGAAAACTGGTGCAATTTCAAGGCTGAGCTTCCTGAGAAGGAGGTGCCTGCTTGAGGCTCAAGTGCTGAGACTGGGACTTGTGTTCTTTCACTTTGTTTCAGCAGAGGTTTCAATGTGCCCCATGCTCTAGGTCCTTAAAAATCTGCTTCAGGCTCCTTATTTTTGAAATAGTAAAGATAAAAAGTCACCAGAGAACCTGATACACAGGCAGAGCTGAATGTGTGGCCCTGTTAAACCTCCAGCTGAGAATAACACCATTACCTAATGCTAAAACACCTCCACGAGGTACTTTCCCCTTTCCCCACCCACTTGAACCTCCCAGCACTTACTTCTGCCTGGCACAATCCAGATCCCTCCTGTAGCTGCGCAGAGCTGCCTCCATCTGTCCCATCTCCACCTGTGCGTTCCCAATGCAGCTGTGGAGGGTCCCAACCAGTTCACTCTTGTTGGGAACTTCATTCTCTGGCCGCCCTTGTATCTTTTTCAGGAGACGCTCAGCTTTCCTGCAGCTTTCCTCAGCAGAGCCTCTGGCCAGCACTGGGGACAGGGAGCAGAGTTTGACACTGGGGTGTGGCACAGAGATGTTGAGATGTTGTGAATTCCCCGTCCCTGGGAGTGTTCCAGGCCAGGTTAGACGGGGCTTGGAGCAACCTGGGCTACTGGAAGGTGTCCCTGCTTATGGCAGGGGGTGGAGCTGGATGAGATTTATGGTCCCTTCCAACCCAAACCATGCTGGGATTCTGTGACACTGAGAAAGGGAGACCTAGTGCAGCGGTAACCCTCAGACAAAGGTTGGGAATGGTTAGAGCAGTGGGAGGCACTCAGCTTCCAGCCAGGAACCTACTCAGCTCAATATCCTCCATGTCCTTGGCGATGGCTCTGGCAACTTCAGCCGGTTTCCGTTTCCTGTCCCCGATCCCCCTGCGCTGCAGGAGCCGCCGCTCGTACAGCCGGGCATAGATCGGCTTCTGCTGCTGCCAGAAGTCCCGGCGCTGGTTCAGGTAGGAGATGCCATCCAAAACCAGGTCTTCGACTTTCCCCCCCTGCCTCATGTTGATCTGCATCAAGTCTGGAAATAAGATAAGGTAGAATCCAGGTGAGTATCAATGGACCTGAGCTGCAGTGAAGTGGGGAATCGCTTGGGAATGTTCTTCTGGTCTGACAGAGGCAGTCCTGGAAACTAAATTGTCCTGTGCTCCTCAGAGCTGAGGTAATGGGGGAGTTACCAGCATTTATAACAAACCCACAGAGGAGTCACAGCCCTGTGAGCAGCACTCGGCACTGAGCGCGAGTGTCAGCGGGTTTGTAGTTGTGACAGGAGTTCAGTCACTTGCAATGAAGCTGTTTTTCCTTCTCATTTCATCAGCTCTGAGTTGATTTATCGATGGGGAAGGAAATAAGCCCATAGTTATAAATGTTGGACCTGGCTCCAAACCTGCCCGTGTCCAGCACCACGTGCTACATGACCTCTGGTACGAGTCAGGAAGAGTCACGGGGACAAAAACGAAGAAGAGAAATAAAAAAAGGATAAGAGGAAAAGAAAAACAGAACCTGCTTGGAAGGAACATTTAGGTAAACACAACGGAGAAACACCTTCATCCTTGAGCAACTTCTCCAGGAAGGTCTTGTCATCATAAAGCTGTCCCAGAAGCTCTCGCTCTGTTTTTGGATTCTTCACACGCTGCTTCTTTTTTGTCCCTTTTTGATCCTTAGTTGGTATGTTTTGCAGTTTCTGGTTGTTTTTTCTGCTCTGCGGTGAGAAAAAAAGCAAAGGAAGTTGGGGGAGATCAGTGGGGAACACTGGAATGATCAGAAGTCTGTCATGCTCCATATAAGGCAGCTTATTTTTTAATTAAAAGGAAAAAGTCAGTGTCTCACCAGCTGCTTTGGTCATGAGCAAGTGAAATTCTGCAGCCAATCGTGCTCCCTCAGGACCAAGAGGGTGTTACAGGAAAAGCAAGAACTAATTCTGGCCTCTTGGAGGAACAAGACCCTACTGCCATGGAGCACCCCGAAGTGAAGCAATTGAGAAAGTGTCCATTATCAAAACTGTGACCTTAAACATCAGGTAAACCCAAAGTCAATATTGGAGCTCGTGGCACCCTGCTTGACCTCAGGGATGTTACTCATTAGCCTCGGATGGGCGACCAGTAACGCCCCCAGGAAGGGGCTGGGGAGGAATTCCACACTGGGGTTTGTTTCTCCTCATGGCTCTTCCCTGCCCTTCTGCATTCTCCTGTAGGTTCTGGATGGTTTGAGCCAGACCCGCATTAGAGGCAGGTGATAAACACTCACGATGGGTCAGTGTGTTTAAATGCTCAGGGAGCCCTTCAGCAGACCTGCTGTACAGGACCTGTGTCCCTGCAGGGACTGTCTCCCTTCCCGTGCCCATTTCAGGCAGTCTTAGCATTGCAACCACTCTAGAAGCTTCTCCAGCAAGAGCTCTGTGCTGTACCTCTGCCTGCCTGCTCACGAAGCCCAGCTCCTCCTTGTTCTCCAGCTTCACCGAGGCTGGATCTGCAGACACAGAGGAAACCCCTGTTAGTGCCCACAACAGCCATGCAGGCTCTTGTCAGTAAAATGCCCATAAATGTGCCAAGCCCAAAATGTTCACTTTGAACTGAAGCTGTTCTAATTCTTTCTCATGGAACAGGGGGTGTTGGTGTGTCCTGGGTGCAGGAAATGCAGCTCATCCACGAGCTCCTCTCGGGATTTTAATTCCTATTTTACACAGCACCGGGGGCTCTCACTGCAGCATTCCTACAGACAGGCTACATCCTGCACGGAAACTGGGGAAGGAGAAGGATGCAGGTTCTTCTGGGGAATCACAGCTGGAGTGTAAAATGGCAGAAAAGCTCTGAGCACAGGGAGCTCCTGCAATCCAGAGAATTATTCTAAAGGTTTGTGCACTGACATTAGGGCAAAACTCCTGTTGTGTTTTCATCTGCACCTGGGGAGGGGAGTGTTCAAGGGAAGGACAGAGCTTCCCAGGCCAGTGCAGGAGGATTCCCTTTGGCACAGCCATGGGGCCCAGACCAGCAGTGCAGGCACAGGCAGATCACAAGGGTAGCAGTTCCTGATCCTGCCGCATGAAGCACAGGCAGGGAAGCACTTTGGGAATGTGCCCTGTTAACGTGTGTGCATTTCCCAACTATTCAAACATCCAGCTCCATGCTGGTGTGTTTCCTTGCTTCCCTGCATCTTGGAGCTATTGACCAATGTATAAAATAGAGTTTTCTAGTTTTTTACTCTGCTCCCGTACCTGCAGCCCAGGGGCTCGAGGGAAGTTAGAGACCTTGCCTTGAGCCCAGGAAGATTCCAGCTGGGAGCTGTGGCAATACCTGATCATTGTGCTAAGCTCAGGAAGCAGCAGGAATGGAGGAAAACAAGCCAGATGTGAAAACTTTCCCTGTTTTTTTAAATAACGATTCCATACGAAAGCGCCGCAGGCTCTGGCGCCGCTGGCACGTGAGTTAATCCCTGGCACTGGGGGAGGGCTGAAGTTTGGAAATTTCGGGGGAGGGAGGCCTGGCCTATCTGGGGATCTGTGCAGGGTGTGAGCGGGGCGTGCCGGGCGCTGGGCAGGGATAGGCTCCAGGATGCAGGGATAGGCTCCGGGATGCACCGGAGCAGTTCCAACCCACCGGGCAGGTTTGGCAGCCCCGGGGTGGGGGGCGAGCACGGGGCTCCCTGCACGTGTCCTGTCGGGGGTGGCAGTCCCAGGTGAGGGGTGTGTGTGTGCCCCGGACTGGCCCAGACTGACTGTGCCTGCCAGCGTGGCTGAGAGAAAAAGTAAGGGACAAGGGACAAGTTCTCCGTTTGCTTTGAACCCCACGAGGTCCTTGGCCTCTCCTGTCTCTGCAGGACCCGCTGGTGATCTGAGCCAGAAGTGATGAAAGCACAACTCATTGCAAGAGTCAACAGTTTCACTGCTCTTGTGCAATGGAAATTGGAGGAGAGTCAGGATTTCGGGAGGCCAGTCTCAGGTAGCATGGCTCATTTCATTCCAAACTTTGAATACTGGGATAAAGATCTCAAAATGGATTTTGGAATTAAATGGATTCTGAAATTAGTGCTGGAGGTAGATCATAGAATCACAGAATCCCAGCATGGTTTGGGTTGGAAGGGAGCTTAAAGCTCATCCAGTCCCACCCCCTGCCATGGGCAGGGACACCTTCCACTAGCCCAGGTTGCTCCAAGCCCCGTCCAACCTGGCCTGGGACACTTCCAGGCATCCAGGGGCAGCCACAACTTCTCTGGGCAACCTGTGCCAGGGCCTCCCCACCCTCACAGGGAAAAATTTCTCCCCAGTACCCCAATTAACCCTGCCCTTTCTCAGCATGAAGCCATTCCCCCTTGTCCTGGCACTTCAGGCCCTTGTAAATAGTCTCTGTCCACCTTTCTTCTCAGCTCCCCTCACACACTGGGAGGCCACTGATGAGATGAGCTGCTCTGGTCTGTATTCCCTGGAACTTTTCCAGGGAATTTTAGTATCAGGAGTTACCTCCAGAACTGAAGGGATCAGACACTGTGTGTGAATGGGCACTGAGGGGGGAAAGGCCGAAAAAAAGAGCAGGGCTGGGCTCTTTGTGGTGCTTCCTGGTGCTTCTGGATTCACCTGCCACTGAGCACGTGGACCCAGGAGCAGCAGGACTGTGGTGTGGGGCCCTTGGGTCACTGGCAGAGCTGATCTGCCATCGGCTGTGCCCTGAACAGTGTCAGCCAGGCTTGTGGGGGCCAGGAAGTGGCACTTCTTACTGCCAATGCAGTTCATAATTGCCTCCTCTGCCTTGTTGATGCCCAGCTGGAACTTGTGCTGGTCCGGGCGGAGCCTCCGGCCTCGATGGTAAAACACCAGCGCGAACTCGAAGTCCCCCATGGTGTAGAGGGTCTCTGCCTTTTGGTAAAGCCCCTGAAATGACATTTGGGAAAAGAAATTATTAAAAAGAGGGAAAAAAGTTTCATGGATCTCAAGTAACTCCTGACAGGCAGAAGGGAGAACCCAGGGGTGTCACAACCTGAGTACAACAAACCCCAGTCCTGGAGCTGACTGAGCACCTCCACTGCTCCAAGAGCAGCAGAAACCTCAGGAGAGTTCGGAGTGAGCTGTTCCCTCCCAGCTCTGCCTCAGACCCTGCAGCATCTCACAGATCCAGGCCAGCCCTGGCCCCCCTGCTCTCACCACTTCCTCTGGTTACCTCAGTGAACGCTTTGTCTCTTTGGAGCGAGGCTTCAGCATCCTTCAAGGAGTTTTCTGTGTCCCCAAGTTTCAGGAAGCATTTGGAGCGGGTGATAAGGCACTGCTTGTCCCCTGCCCTCAGCTTCAGTGCCTGGAACCACAGACACGGACACGTCACCAGTGCTGGCTCAACACCACAAATACACAAGTGCAGGTATTTGGTGCCACCTGCACAGTCGCCACATGGATCTTGATGACACATGATGATAAAACCACAGGATTTTTATTGAAAAGAGCCTTCCCTTGCAGTTCACAGGTTCCCTGTGCTGCAGGGGCTGCCCTGCCTGGGTCACCCCCTGGTGCCGAGACCTCCTGGGGACACGTCCCTCCGAGCCACCTCCCCTCGCCTCGGGTGCCACGTTCCCTCCGCTGCCTCTTCCCCCTCCTGAACCGAGTCGCGGCCGCTCCCTCTCGAGGCCCGTCCCGCCCCGGGCCTCTCGGTGTCCCTGGGCTGCGCCCCCGCCGCGGCGCCCTCACATTGTTGAAGCAGCCCAGCGCCTTGTGGTGCTGCCCGCGCCGGCTTAGCGTTGTCCCCTCGGTGATGAGGCTGCCGAAGGTGACGATGGGCCCGGGGTCCGGGTCCGCCATGGCCGCGCCGCGCCGCCGTTGCCGGGCAACGGCCCCGCTTCCGGTGGAGGCCCCGCCCCCAGAGTGACGTCAGGCGCGCCCGGTCAGTGCCCACGTGGGTCCCGGTGCCCCGGGAGCGGCCCCGGTACCGACCCCGCACCCCGGCCCGGCCAGGCACGCCGGCCCTCGCTGCTGGGCAGGCGCGTCCGCAGGCCGTGCCCGGGGCTGCCGGCGGGTGCTCGCGGTGTCTCTGTCCCGTCCCGACCCGGTGCCCGTGCGGTTCTGTTCTTCCACCCGCGTTCCCGGCGTCCTGCGCGGCCCGGTGCAGCCGCGGTGCCGAACGCCGGGCAGAGGCAGTTCCTCTGCTCCGCCGGCTCACGGCCGGTGCCTCCTGCAGCGGCAGCACGAGGGGCAGCCGCCGACCCCCTGCCATCGGTTATTCGGGACCGTTTGGCGCTCGCGGGTGGCCCCGGTACCGGTTTCGCCGCTGCAGTGGCCAGTCCTGGCCAAATAAATGACTAACGGGAGATGCTGATGGTTCCCTCCCGTCCGTGCTTCAGTCCCGACTTTATTTTGGCGCTGGGTGAGACCCCGCGCCAAGATTCGTGTTGGAGACACTTTGTTCCTGCCAAGTGACTCACAGTGGGGGGGGGAGGTGTCTGTCCCGCTCGGGGCTGGTGACATTTAACGTCACCGTGAGACAGATCCGCGGTGCCGGGGCTGTGCTTACCCGGCCCCGGCCCCGGCAGCGGGGGCGGGAGGCGGGGTGGGGGTCACGCCAGGGTGGGGAGACACAGGCGGCCGAGCCCCGGAGTGGGAGGCGGGAGTGACACACCCCGTCCCCGGGGAGCCCGCGCAGGAAATTTCAGGCAGTTGAAGCGTTCGGGAGCAGTTTTCCAGGGATACTTTCCCCACTGGCAGCGCCGGGCGTGACACGCTGTGCCCAGCGGGGTGGGCGGGAGCATCGTGTCCGCGGGGCTGTCGCGGGGCTGTGCCCAGTCTGGTGACACCGTCACGGGGGCACAGCAGCCCCGACCGCCGGGGCAGAGACCGCGCCGGGTGCCCCCCTCAGCTCTGCTGATGAGCGCGTTAGTCACAGGCTGGAAATACCAGGGAAAAAGTGAATGTGGGATGGGTGTTTCTGGGAAGCAGCAGAGCCGTGACGGCCTCCGTGAGAGGCTGGTGAGGAAACGGCGCAACGAGGAGGCAGGACGGCCTTGCCACCAGCGTTCCCGGTGCCTCGGGAAGCTCCGTGAGCCTCCCGTTGGCCGCTTCCCCAGGGATCGCGCTCCAGCGGTGCCGCCCGCGCTGGGACCGGAGAACCGGCTCCGGCGGCGCCGCCACTCCCCCGCGGGCACCGCCCGCCCGCCCAGTTGCAGCACAGCCCGCGGGAGGCTCCTCGGCCCGTCCCGGCGCCGGGGAACAAGCCCCGCTCCCGGTGCCGGTGACATCATCTGGGCCCCCGGTGACGTTAGTGGTGGGGGGTCACGGCCGCGAGCGCCGCCGGGGGCGGGGCGGAGGGTGGGCGGGACTACAACTCCCACAAGGCCTTGCGGCCGCGCCCCACCCGCGGCAGCCAATGGGCGCGCGGCCGGCGCTCAGGCAACGTGCACGTGGCGACCGCGGCGGCCAATGGGCGGCGGCGCGTGCCGTGACCCGATGGGCCGAGGGGGCCGCGCTCGGCGAACAAAAGGCGGCGGCGGCGGCGGCGGCGGGAGCGCGGCCGGGCGGGAGCGGAGCGGGGCAACCCAGCCGAGCGGCGCCCGGGTGAGTGCGGGGGGATCGGGCCCCGCCGCTGCGGAGGGGGGTCCACTCGCCCCGGAGAGCGGCTGCGGCTCTGCCCGGCACATGGCGGGGCCTCGCGGGGCCGCTCCCTGGGGCGGCGGTGGAAGGGGCTGCGGGTCGGGAGCCGCCTTGGTTCCGGCCGGCCCCGGCCCCACCGGCTCGCTGGAGGGCGGGCGGGCCCCGGGAGCGCCGTGGTCTCGCTCAAGCGGCGGGTGTGCGGCCGCGAGCGGGGGCGGCCGGAGCGGAGCCCCGCGCTCCCGCCGGCACGGCCGCCCTGACCTTGCCGGGGTGTCCCCGGAGCGGTGCCGGTGGCCGGGGCGCGCTGGGGCGCGGGCGATGTGCGGGGGCACAGCACAGGCATCAGCGAGGGGCTGGGAAGTTGCCCTGGGCTGTGCCCGCGGCAGCTCCGCGCTCCGGCTTTGGGCGTCTGTTCCCTTCCCAGCCAGGTCCACGAGGGCCTTGGCCAAAGCACCTACACCCCCTGCCAGAAGGAAAATCCCTTCGTGGCCATCCTGGAGGAGCAGCCCCGTGTCGGGATCTCGCTGTTCCCGTACGAGCAGGAGGGTGCACAGCGCGTGTCGCTCCCTTCCCGGGACAGGTGGCTGTGTTCCAGCTCTTCTGTTTGCTACCTGCAAACACCTCCTGTTTGTCTTGCTGCTTTCGAAATTCTCATCCTGCTGTACAGACTCTCCCATTCCTCTGTTGAACTGTTTGTTTTCTGCAGCAGCCTCTAAAAGCTGAAGGCTGAGGTGCATCCTGAATATCCTGTTTGTAGGTGTCTGTACTTGTTCTTATCCCTAGTTGGGTTTGGAGCTCAGAGCATCAGCTCTGCTGCCCAGTGCTGTGATCCAAACCCTGTTGAGTTTCCTGCATGTGAGGCTCTGCAGCACTCTCCAGGTAGCAGGGCTTTTCCCACTGTTCCAGTGCTGCCTGAAGTGATTGCCAACAGCCACGGTTGGGAATTCTGCCAGGGAACCTGCCACTGCCTCCACTGTGCAAGCAACATGGGAAGGATTTAAGGAATGAACATGTTAAGGACCTTCCCAAGGCTGCAGAATAAGATGGCCTTTAACGACAGGGTCCCAAATTCCCTACTTGTAGCAGTCGGCACTCACCAGGTGTGTGGAGCCCGTCCACTGCTCTCCATTGGCCACACGTAACCCGGTCTCTGGTCCCTTCCCCTCCCTGGCTACCGCGTTGCTCTCAGGGGTTCCACATGTTCAGGGAGCCTCCCCCAGAGCTGGGCAAGCAGCACCTGCTTGCATCACCCCACACAGCATTTCCCAACTGCAGCTGTGGGACCATGACCCTGCACTGGCCCTCGCTGTGCTCTGCTGAAACATGGGCACTGCCAGGTGGGAGCTGATGTAACTCTTCGTGCTGCCGTGGGCTGAAAATACTGGCTGAGCTTGAACTGCGTTAATAAGTGACCCGGGATGGAGGGGGAAGGCTGCTTTGCCATATGAGTTTGTTGACATAATTCTTGGGAGAGCGGGTGAGAAATCTTCACTGGGGAGGGAGTCCTTTCCTCCTGGCAGAAGCACCGTTCAGGTGGGATTGGAGCATGGTACTGATCCAGATCTAAGAGAATTCCATGCCTGAGTGCCATGTTCTGTCTGAACACAGACTGGTGAAGTGGAGCTACACCTCTGCAACCAGAAAGGGTTTGCAGAAAAACCAACCCAATCACTGTCTTTAATGCCTTTTTCTCTCCCTGCAGAGCAGACTGTGTTGCGCTGAGTTAATGCTACATCGTTGATCTCTTGGGAGTCAGGGAGACTTTACCTGGATTCTGTGTCAGGAATGCCTCCCTGTTTCTCCATTTGTGTTTCCTTTGGATCTGCTGCAAGTTCCCTTCAGCTGGTATTGGGGCAGGTGTATCAGTTGTGTCACAGCAAACACAACGTCCAGCTCTAGGATCCTTGCCTGCCTCTTGCCATCCCACTGTTTTTCTCTGTCAGTACATTTGGGGAACATTTCCCAAATATAAATCCCTTAGCATATTTGACAGGTAATGTTTTGAGGGAATAAGTGCTGCTGAGCTCCCGAAAATGTGCTCTAATCCATGTCTCTTACTTGCTCTGGACTTTCCAGCAAAGGCTGGAATCCAGCACTTCTTGAATCGGTGGGTATGGATGATGAGAGGTCTCTGAGGTGTTGCAGGGAAGCTGTTTGTGTTGGAGCCTCAGTAAATGAACACAAATCTGTGGCACTTCCAGAAAGAACTTATTCTTGAAGCAGTGAAACCACTTGCATTTGTCAAACCAAGACAAGGTGTGTGACATCCACTGGAGAGAGCTCTGCTTCAAACACAGGAATGGCCCCGGTGACACGGGCTGGCCCCAGAGCTGATCCTGCTTTGAGCCTGAGGTTGTGCTGAGTATCCTCCTGAGTCCCCTCTAACCTCAACTATTCTGTGATCTGATGATCTGTCACATTTTAACTGAAAACTTCACGGCATATGCTGTGGGAAATGCTTTATGGTGGCAGTAGATCATCCTTTGCTCAGCAGATTTGGCCAGCAATCAGCTGTGCTTCCATCATAGACCCTTCAAGGGAAAGGCAAGGCGGTTTGTAACTGGCTCTGAAAGGCTGTGATAATGCAGGTACAGTGTCCAGGGAATCATCACAGGCAGCTGGAGAGGCAGCACAAGTTAGAAACTGAATTCCATCTGCCCCTATTCAAAACCTCGTGCAGCGGAGGTTGCACAGCAGGAGCAGATTGGAAAAGGCTTTTTGTGCTGCTGACATGAATCTGCCCTTGTGTGTGGTGGGTGCAAGGTCTGGGACCTGAAGTGGTGAGAAAATTGCAGGTCAGTCTTGGCTAATGAATGATGAACAGAGCAATGTCTGGGTGTGAAGTGGTGAAAGAGAACGTTGTTACCCTACAGCTTGTGTTTGAGACAGAGAGAAGGACTTTTCTTTCCTCTGTTTCTTCAGAGGTGCAGCCATTGCTCTCTCCAGCACTGGTTGGCCCTGCAGGTGCTAAGCATGACTGAAAACAAGATTATCCCTGGCAGATGAGAGTCTGAACCTGCCCCATTCCTGGGAAACTGCAGAGACTGTGTTCTGGTGACTTGAGTCCGTGCCCCTGCTTGGTGTTTGCAGAACAGATGCAGGAAGTTAATGGAGGTGCTCTGATCTGATCTCCCTGGTTGTCAAGGGACCTGCACGAGCACACACAGCTGGAAATTGCTGATGCCCTATGTATTTTTTTCCTGCTGATCTCTTAGCTTAACAGTTCAGCAGACTGAAGCAATTGTTTTGTGCTGTGTGTCCCAACAGAAAGGCGGGGTTGGAGCAGCGGAAAAATGGAGTGAGGGGCGTGATTAAAGACTTGCCAGTGTTTAGGAAATCTGAACCTCGGGCAGATAAGGTCAGAACAGCCTCATTCCTGCTGTTCTGTTGCCATGACATGAGGATGTTGTTATTTTTCATCTACTGCTATTGTAATAATCCTCTGGTTTCCTTTCTTTGCCCCGGTAGTGTTACTGCAAAAATGAGGTGATGACCAGGAATGGTTCTGAGAGGAGCAGCTCCACAGGGCCACTCTCCTGGGAGTGCCCCATGCATTGTGTCCCTCGGGTTTAAGAAATCCCATTTCTGTCACTTTTTCCCGCTGATGGTTTTTATAGGACTGTTCTTGATAAGACCTGAGGAGTATCCCGGGTCCAATTTCTTGCAATTGCAGGTGATTCGTTGACATAACTGGCCTCAGTTTGAGTGGTTTGATTTGTAAATGTGGACTGAAGTTCTGCAGTGCTGTTCAGGGGCTCTGTGACTATCCTGGAGAAATGGCAAAATACTTGAGGTTTTTCAAAGAAATATTTTTGCCACTTTCTTTTACCCATTTGCTGGTGCTGCAGTGAAATGTGATGCTGTTTCTCTGGGACTGGCCCTGAGCAGATTGTGGAGTTGATGGATTTTGAAGGGGTATGAATCAGGAGTATTCCAGCTTCCTCTCAGGCAGAACAAATGGCTGCAGGCACCATGGGAGCAGGGTTTGCTCTCAGAAATACCTCTGTTTTAAAGCAAAAATCCTAATGGAAAGTTTTCAGCACTCTGGTATGGGGGGGGGCTGCAGCTGTGAGGCAGGGCAGCGGTGTGGGGTCTGTGGGAACTGAGTGTGTCTGTGTGTGCCTGCAGGACAGGGCTGGGATGTTGGTTTGGGGTTTGGTGGTTGGTCTCCTCTGGCTGCTCACAAGAACTCCCCTCTCCTGGGGCCACGCTTTGGCACTGGGCTAATGAAACAACAGGGCTGTTTTCAGCAGGCAGTGTTAGGGGCAAGTGTTTCTTGCCCCAGAAACATCTCCCGACGCTGTTTTGAAACAGGATTAAATTGGAAGCTGTGCTGCAACTATTTAGGGTTTTACATCATAACCCCCTGAGAGCAGCCCTGCTGGTCTTTAAAGTCTTTTGCCCCTTCAGTAGCTTCGCCTTTGTGATTTTTAACCCTGGAGCTGCATTTGAAAAGATGTCAGCAGCAGATCTGACTGCTGGTCCTTAACTTAGTTATCAGCTTTCAGTAACAGCACTTAGTCCAATCTGGTTTGTTCTGGAGGCTCAGGGAATGCAGCCTCCCTCCTACTAATGTTGGGATGGACCAAACCTCCTCCTTCCTGCTCTAGGGAAAAGTTCTTTATTTCTAATGATGGCTAATTATTCCCTGGGTGAGTAACCCAGCTGATTACTAATGATTGTTTCCCAGAGGGCAGCACAAGAAATAACTGGAATTTTTAAACTGTTTGCCTCTGTGGGTCTCTGTTTTGTGAGGACAGGTAGTGGGTCTTACTGAGCCATTCCAGTACTTCACTGCCCAGGTGCTCAGATGGAATCTGAGCTCCTCCTTTCTGTGTTGGTGCCTTTCTGCTTTGCAGCTCTCCCAGAATCTATCCCAAGTGTGCTTTTGTTTCCTTCCACATTGGCTGTGCTTGGGGAACAGGAACATGACCCCAGTCACTCAGAATGCAGCAGGAGCCACTGCTCAAGCCTCCCTGTCAGCAGTCTGACCCCTCAGACATACCAAACCCACTGGCTGATCACAGGACTCAGTTCTGATGTGTGACAGATGCAGACAGGGTCACTGGAATGAAATATTCTTTTAAAAAAATGTTTAGGGCAGCTAAAAAGAAATGCATCTTTGACACCTATGACTTTGTTGCTGCCTATTGGAAACAAAAGTTACAGCCTTGAGGTCAGAAGTCATTTCCTTACATCAGTTTGAAAGACACTTGAAAAGAGAATAAAACCATCCCCCATCCTAATTCCATGGAATTAGGAATTTTTTCTTAAACCCAAACAAACAAAAAAAAAAACCCCAACCTGTCTAACCTTAATCTTTTGTTGTCTTGAGCATCTTATTCTGTCGGGTGTGAAGCTCCTTCCAAGACATCTGGTTCGGAAACAAGAAAAAACAATGATGTAAACGTGTTCTGGTTTTGGTAATCCTGGCAGCGTTTTCCTTTCCCTTTAGGAAAGGGATGGGGGTTGCTGATGTGCCTGCAGTCAGGCTCACACTGGGAACGTGGGAAGCTGTAGGGAAGTGGGTGGGAGGGAGGGGTTCCCTCCCTGGAACAGCACCAGAAGTGATAGATGTGTTACACAGACCCCCCCCAGGAGCAAACCTGGGTTGCTGTGAGATTTGAGAGCAGCTGCCAGAACTGGGCACCCCCTGGATGCTCCAAGCAGAGGGTTTGGGAAAGGCTCTCGTGGCTGGGACAGGCTCCTGGGATTCTGCCTTTCCCTGCAGGCAAGGCTGGACCAAAACAGTGTTCAGGGCAGGGGAATGGGGTGGAAATTTTAAGCAACATGAATAGTTCTTGCTTGTCAGGTGAGTTTTTTGATGTTATGTTTAATGTGGAGACAGAGCCCAGCTCTGGGTTTGTGTTGAGCTGGGTGATGGGGAGTTCTCAGCCACAACAGGGCTCTGTTCCTGATGGATTTTTGTGTTTTTTCTCCATCCAGACTAGATAGCCATGTCAGCCAAAGCCATCTCCGAGCAGACGGGGAAGGAGTTCTTGTACAAGTACATCTGCACGTCCTCTGCCATCCAGAACCGCTTCAAGTATGCCCGGGTCACCCCGGCCACGGACTGGGCACGGCTCACCCAGGACCACCCCTGGCTCCTGAGCGAGGTAAGGACAGCAGGAGCTGCCTTCCTGGAGTGCCTGAGCCCTGCTCCGGATCCTTCCCCAAGGACCATTCACTGCTGCTGCTCTGCCACGGTCACTCCCAACCCTGGTGAAGAAACAAGCCTTGCTTCAAGGCTCAGTGTCACCTCGTGGGGGGCTGATTATGCAATTCCTTGAAGGACTGAAACACAGGAGCAGAGAGAGCTGCGAACAAGCTGCTCATAACTGCACAGGAGGTAGAGGAGGCTGATTCAGGCAGAGATGTCAGTCCCTGTTCTCAAACCCTTGCTGTCTGATATTAGGGAGTGCTCTCTCCATGGCTGGCTTTATCCAGTGTCCAGTTAGGACACTGCTTAGTTTTCCTGTATCCAGGCAAAATGTCAAGGAAAACTTTTTTTTTTCCTTCTTTTTCAATGCAAGATCTTTTATATCTCTGTGTGTCATAGCCACGCACTTTCTGTAGAGTAAATATATCCAGAGCTCTTTTTATTAGCTGCCCAAGCTGGCTTCTTCCCAGTGGTTAATTATATTAAGTCGTTGGCTGGAGAATATGAATGTCTCACAGTCCTTGACTGACTGACTGATAGAAGCCCTGCACTAATTAAATGTTCTATGCTCAAGTGCCTGAGTGAACTGCAGGAAGAGATCAGCACTGCTTCTAAAAGCCTCGCAGGAAGCCAGAAGGGAGCAAGGATGCTCTGGAACCTTAAGGCAGGTTCTGTAAGGCTAGAAAGGGCTGCAGGGTCCAGCAGCAAGACCATGCTCAGTGTCCTGTACCTCAGCACAGTGTGTTCTGACTCTACTCCTGCTGCTGAAGTTCCAGGACACATCAGCAGTACAGGAGAATGGCACCCACTTCTCCTTTGTTTTTAATCAGATATTTGCAAGCTAGAGATAAGTGTGTAACCCAGGAGCAGCCTTCCATGGGTATCTTACAGAAAGCTGCTGTCAGTTGACTAAAATATGCATGACCCCTGGCCCTGGCCAGTCTCATAAGCAGTGTGTAGTGACAGCAGGAGTTGTTGGTTTTGGGTTTTTTTTGTGAGCAACTGTGCCTGCCATGACACACACATTTTTTTTCATCAAAAAAGCCAGAACAAACTGTCACCTCAGTCTCTGATGTCTGCTCACGGCTGAGTAGAAACAAAGCAGCTTTTCTTGAAGTATACTGTAAATAAACCTTGCAGGCATGTTGTACGAGGAGCTGGATTTGCCAAGATTAAAGACATTCTGCAAAGATCTGTGCTGTACAGAGCTAGTTTAGATTTTTGCTTTACTATCTGCAGAGAACTGCTTGACCAAAGTCACTTTCTAATGCTTCTTCCTTTGAATCTCTTGCCCAACCTTGTAGCGTTTAGTGGTGAAGCCAGATCAGCTCATCAAGAGACGTGGGAAGCTTGGACTGGTTGGGATTAACCTCACTCTGGATCAGGTGAAGGCTTGGCTCAAGCAGCGCCTGGGCCAGGAAACCACGGTGAGTGTCACCTCAGCAGCAAGGACAAGGCTGCTTTTTCCTGTTTCTCCTGGCCCTGCTGGCGTGGGGGTGTTTCTCTTGCTTCTGGAGGTTTCAAACACGTGTGATGGTGGCGGAAAAAGCAAGTGAGAAACTGTCCCACGTGTGAACTTGCTGCTGGTAAATGAGCCCTGAGAACTGACCCACCGTGACAGGGCACAGAGCCCAGTGCTCCCTGTGACTCTGCTGTCTGTGCAGGGCCGGTGGGAACTCAGCAGGAATTAGCACCACTTCGAAATTCCCTTCCCCTGGGAGTCAGCTGCTGGTAGCTGGATGCTGTGTTGAGCTGGCTCTGCTGCTTCCCAGTAGCACCCAAGACAGTGTAAAAGCTGTCATAAAAGCATCCCCTACTGCATCCAGCTCGTGTGTTTTGGCTGATGACTGAGTGTTACTTCAGGTCCTTATTTTAACTCAGTGCTGCCCTAATATATTTATTTTCCTGGGAATGGCACTGCAATGCTAATGATAACAAAGTGCCCGCCATCCCTGCTGCCGTGTGTCGGGAGCTGATGGAGTTCTGCTGCCTCAAGGAATTGGTGCCTTTGGCCCTGCTGGGATTGATTTGCTGCTGGCTCCAGCTCTGAGCCGGTGCAGCTCCCTGGAGAATTGGGAAACAGCAGGAACTGCATCTTGTGTGCTGCCCATTGGGAAAATGATGGATGTGGAAATCACTCCTTTAGCACAATACAACAACCACATCTAAAGCAAGGACTGGGCCACAGGCTTGGGACTACTGGTGTCCTTGGGAACAGGGAGTATCCCCCATGTGTGGGAGTGTCCCTTGAGCCAGGCTAGGGTTTGAATAGCAGGAAAGTGCCTACACAGGGCAGTTCCCAGACCTTGCTCTAGTTGTGTCCCTGTAGGAAGGGGATAAAGGGTTGTCGTGCTCTTCCATGCTCCCTGACACCACTTCAGGGCGAGGACTGCTCTGAGGCCTCTGCTCCTGCTACTCAGGAATTCACTCACTTCTGATTTTTTCCAATGCTCCAAGAGCAGCTCAAGTAGTCACCCTGTGCTGAGCAGGGCTCTATGATGGTGCTGTCTCTGGAACAGGAGGCGAGAGCAGCTGTCCCAGTGTAATTGTGATACCCCTCTGTCCTATGAGGAATGGGGAAGGTGACTGACTCCTGTAACCAGATATCCTTGGTGACAGTGCTGGATGTTGTGCTGGAGAGGGAGGAGTGGTTCTCCAGGAGGCCTGGTGGAGAGGTGCTTGAAAGAGTGATCTTAGAGCAGTGCTGATTAATTCTCAAAGCTTGCCTTGTGCTGTCACAAATGTGGAGACTGGACAAGTGGTTATGGGTGTTTGTCTTGTTTTCTGCCCCCAGATTGCTAATGCGAAGGGAATCCTAAAGAATTTTCTGATCGAACCCTTCGTCCCTCACAAACAGGTTAGTACCCCAAATAAAGCATTAAAAAGGGCTTTTAAATCTCTTTGGACTTGCACACTTAGCTGGATTGGTACAGTGGAGAAGGCAGAAGTTTGGGGGTGTGCTGTTGAGCTCACAGGGTCAGTGCACAGCCTGCACAACCCAAGGCAGTGTCGGGGCCACTCCAGCACTGCTGCTCCTGGGGAAGCTCGATGGTGGGCTTGGGTGCCCCATCCCTGGCACTGGCACAAGAGCCTCTCCAGGGTCTTCTCTGGGTGTCAGTGGCTAACTTTTGTGCCTGCTCTGTGGTGCAGGAGGAAGAGTTCTACGTGTGCATATATGCTGCCCGTGAGGGAGACTATGTGCTCTTCCACCACGAAGGGGGTGTGGATGTGGGAGATGTGGATGCCAAAGCTCAGAAGCTGCTCGTGGCAGTGGATGAGAAGCTCAGTGAATCAGATGTGAAGAAGCAGCTCCTGCAGCATGCACCAGCAGACAAGAAGGAGTAAGTACAGCTGCCAGCTCTGGGCAGGACCAGCCACGCAGCAGCTGCTCTCCTTTATCCCAGTGTCACATCCCTCAGTTCTGCTCACCTCGAACTTCACACTCCTGCCCTTCTTGCTGCTCTCCAGAATATGCCATGTATCCTGAATCCAAGTTCTCTGACCTTATCTGAGCCGCCTGTGAAACCCAAAATTAGGTTTAGTGCTGAGCCTTCACTTGGCAGCAGCACTTCTCAGCCTGCTCAGGTCTCGACCTCTGAGACTGGAGACATGTACTGAATTCTGATCCTTTGTGCCAGCTTAGAAGTTTCTTTTGTTTAGTGGAAATAGTGATAAGATGTGGATCTGACTGCTAAGTCAGAACTGCCCTGTCCCTTGCTCTGGCCCAGTCTCCAAAGTTATTCCTGCAGCGTCTCTGTAGATCTCAAGGCTTCTGCATCTCCCTCAATTAGCTGCCCATACCTCATTATCTTAATGTGAGTCATGATTTTTCCGAACACAACGTAATCCCTGCTGGCATCGTGCAGCACTGAAGGGCTGAAGGAGCCTGTCACTCCATCAGTTCACTGCAGCCTCCTCCCCATCACAGATGAGGAAGCTCAGATCTGACAAAGATGGGTATCAGCAGGAAGACAACCAAGTGCGTCTGTCTCCTGGGGAGATAAATCAGACTGCACAGCTCTGACAGTTGTGAGCAACTGTGTCCTCCCAGAGTTTGGTGGAGGGTAATTAGGATGAGTCATCAAGGTCTTCCTTCCCTTGAGTCATCACCCAGGCTCCTTCCAGAGAAGATGAATGAGAATGAAAGAAATTGATGCTGAGTAAATTTGCCACAAATACCAATGAACAGAGCAGGCTGTGCTTAGGTTTGGCTGCTTTCATTAACTTGTGTCACTTTTTTTTTTTTTTTTTTTTTAACAGCATCTTGGCCAGCTTCATCTGTGGCCTGTTCAACCTTTATGAAGATCTGTATTTCACATACCTCGAGATCAATCCATTAGGTAATGGATGTTTTTGGGAACAGAACTTCCTGTTCTGAACTGCTGGAATGTGTTCTTGATCCTTCTCTGGGTTCTGTAGTTCACAACAGCACCAGGTGCCATGTGCAGAAGCACAGAGGTGGCTGTGATGTGTCTTGGAGCTGCTTGTTGAGTGACTTAAAATGAGTGAATGAAAAATTCCATTGAAAGGGATCTTAGGGCAGAACTGAAGAATGTAAAAGTTGCTCTGTTAGAACAAAACATCCCCTGAGGCAGAGCCTGGGCCATGGCCACAGGCACTGGTTAATTCCTCAGGGAACCTGCTGGGGCTGGTAAATGCTGCTCAGTGCTGGGGGGAGCAGCAGTGACCCGGCTTAAGGAATGATCTCTGTGGTATCAGATGTTGAAGTAAACCCGTTACATGTCCTTGTACAAACCACCAGAGTTAATTGTGATGTTTTTCACTGCAGTAGTGACTAAAGATGGTGTTTACATCCTTGATCTGGCTGCGAAGATTGACGCGACGGCTGACTACATCTGCAAAGTGAAGTGGGGGGATGTGGAGTTCCCCCCTCCCTTTGGCAGGGAAGCTTATCCCGAGGCAAGTGACAGCCCAGATTCCTTCCCTGGGGCCTGCAAGATGAATTCCTCAATGCTTATATCCCCAGCTTCCAGTGGTTTTGCTGTGTTTCCAACACTTTGGCAGTGCTGCCCATGCCAACCTGTGTACAGGTAGCTGTAGTCCTGGGACTGCTCGTAATCACACTCTGAACTGCAGTCACTTCCCAGCTCTCCTTGGATGTTCTTTCAGTTCTTTAATTCAGAACTGACTTCTTTAAATGGAGACTGATACTTAACTTCCCTCAGCTGTGTGCCAGAGCTCTGTACCTGTACAGAGCTTGCTTCTGTGGTTCCCGCCCGTGTTGCTCCCCTCAGCATCACTTTTTTGTGAAGCAGTGGTTACTGGCAGCCTCGTGGGAGCTGTTGTTCCCTCAGTGTGTCAGTGGCAGTTCTGAGAGCAGAGCAGCAGCTGTGTGCAAATGCTGCATCCGAGTGTGAATTCAGAGAAAATAATTACCATCTCTCAGGCTTTCAAGTCAGAAGTTAAGATGTTAATGCACCTGTTTTCCCAAGAAGTGAGGACAAGATGAGACCTGCAGGCAGCCCTTTGTAAAGCCAGCAATGTCTGCTTCCTCTCCAAATTCCCTGGGTCTGTGCTGCTGGATGCACAAGCACTGCTCCAGAAAGCTCCTAGCAGCTTCAGAAGCTATTGGAAATAGAGCTTTCTCCTTAGTTATTCTGTTACTTATTTCAGGTGACTGCTCTGCTCTCTCCAAAAGGATTTCTGTCCTGATTTTTTCATTTCAATACTTATAATCATGCTTCAGTTGGAAGGTTTTTGTACTGTGGCCAGGAAATCCATTTAGCTGTTCCTCTCCATGCAGCTCGCTGGATGCCAACACTCAACTCAATTTGCTCTTAAAAGGATTAGTTCAGGTTTTGTCTCTGAATCATCCCTCTGTGAGTGCCTGGGAAGGTTGTTATGGCACGGTCTTTGCTGGGAATGTTAATGAACTCCGATGAAGTGCTGCTCAGCAGCCTGGCACGCTGGGCTCCAGGGGCCCCATGGTGAGCCAAATGGCAGCTCTCAGTGATTACATTCCTGGCTGCAGCACAGCCAGAGTGGTCACCATGGGTGTGATGATTTTTAGATTTTGTCTGGCCTCAGTCTCAGACAAGGTCAGAACAGACTCTTCAGTTCTGTTCAGATTTTGTGACTGGATGGAGAGATGGCACTGGGCCTCTGTCCCTTACAAACACGGTGTCTGTAGCTCTGCTGTCCCTCAGCTGTAGCTGACACCTAGCACTGCCCCTCGGGATGGAAAAGGCAGATGCAGAAGGAAGTTGAGGTTGTGCTGCTCTCCCTGCAGGAAGCCTACATTGCTGACCTGGATGCCAAGAGTGGGGCCAGCCTGAAGCTTACGATCCTGAACCCCAAAGGCAGGATCTGGACCATGGTGGCTGGTGGTGGTGCCTCGGTGGTGTACAGGTAACAGGAACAAGGTTTCCAGAGAAAGGGGTGGATTTACAGTGCTGGAAGAACATAATTCTGCAGCCTGTGGCAAGCAGACTGTTCTAAAGCTGTTTTTCTCATACTGATGTTCGGAATCCCTTTAGAATGAAGGTGCTGTGCAGATTTCTCACCAAGCTGGAACATAGAGTTCCCCAGGCAATTTAATTCTGGGAGGTTGAGATACATTTTCTTTTTGACTTGGAGAGAATTGAGCTGACTGGAGGGTGTTGAGGTCAATATTATTGCTGTAGTGGTCACTGAGTTCCCATCATATCTAGGGAGTATGACAAGGCTATGACTGGCACCAAGGGGAGAGCAGCTTTGTTTTCAGCAGACAGCACAGTCCCTCTGTTCTGAGTGCTGCTTTCCCAGGGCTTTGGAATGCTTTAAGTCCTTTATAGTGACTCAAGTTATAACTAACCTCTTAAATAACTTTTATAGTGACACCATTTGTGACCTGGGGGGTGTGAATGAACTGGCAAACTACGGGGAGTACTCGGGAGCCCCCAGTGAGCAGCAGACCTACGACTATGCCAAGACCATCCTCTCCCTCATGACCCGAGAGAAGCACCCAGAAGGTGAGGGAGATGCTGCAATTCCAAAGCTATGAAGCTGCAGGAAGTTCGTATGAAGTTCAGGAAAAACCTGAACAAATGGGGGCTGTTACTCTGCTTAGCCCTCCCTGGCAGAGCTCTCAATGTACTGCTGCCTTCAGAGGGAAGCAGGAATGGATTTTTGTCAGCTCTTCCTTCAGAGGCAGGACTTGTGGTTTTCTGTGGAGCCTGAGAGATTCTTATCAAACATTCTTGCTTGTTACAAAGCTCTTATCTTCCGGGCTCTACTAAACACAACTGTGAACAACTGGCTAGTCTGCACTGCAGCTTTGTTTCACTTTGTCCTAAATTGCTTCATGATCTTGGAGTATGCTGCTCTTAAAACAGTTCTATTTACACATGTTTTTCTTCCCTCAGGGAAGATCCTGATCATTGGAGGCAGCATTGCAAACTTCACCAATGTAGCAGCCACCTTTAAAGTAAGTGACCAGTCAGAAGCACCAGCAAACACCCACTTGTCAGCCCCAGGCCTTTCTTCCCAGTTCCCTGTTGGGCTGAGGCTGATAGTCCAACTCTTCCAGAACTTCCTGAGATGATGAGACAGGGTAAAGGTCAGACCACCCAGGTCACCTGTCCTGTGTATTTCTTGTAGGGCATTGTGAGAGCAATTAAGGATTTCCAGGGCCCTCTGAAGGAGCATGAGGTGAAGATCTTTGTACGAAGAGGAGGCCCGAACTACCAGGAAGGGTTACGTGTCATGGGAGAAGTTGGTAAGGACCAAGCTTTTCCTTAAGTTTTGTTCTTGCATCTTATTTCTTCCACCTGCTCTCTGCTGAGCCTTCTCAAGGTTAAATGTTTCTCTTTGGCAGAAGCTCACCTTGTTCCTTCCCCCCCCCACCAAGGCTGACTACTGCTGTGTGTCTCCACAGGGAAGACCACTGGCATCCCCATCCATGTCTTTGGCACGGAGACTCACATGACTGCGATCGTGGGCATGGCGCTGGGCCACCGCCCGATCCCCAACCAGCCGCCCACCGCTGCCCACACCGCCAACTTCCTCCTCAACGCCAGCGGCAGCCCCTCGGTGAGTTCCCCCTGTGCCGTGAAAGGGGACAGGGTGGAAATGGGTCTTAGCCACCACTGTATTTGTAGAGAGCTTTACAAAAGCGAATGTGGCTCTGCCCGCATGGTTTGAGGAAGGGCCACCCCAATGCCCACCTCGCTCGTGGCAGAAAATGTGACCTCTCAAATCCAGAATGTGACTCTTGTACCTACTGGGTCATTAAGGAGTTTTCCCTTCCCTGACTGAAACAGCCTTATCTTAAAATCAGTTTTCTTTGGTTTTCTTTGTAGCAGACCAGCGTGGCCAAAGTGGCCGTTTCCTCCTCTGTGCTCCAGGGGTTCCTGGCACTGTCCCTCACTGACTTGGTTTCTGAATCTTTCAGACTCCCGCACCGAGCAGAACCGCCTCCTTCTCTGAGTCCAAAACAGATGGTATTGCTCCAGCCAAGAAGGCAAAACCAACAGCACCTCTTGGTAAGTCCAGCCCTGGCAGTGCTCTGCTGCTCCCAAAGGCAGGACGGGCACGAGACAAATGCTTTTTTTTTTTTTTCTGGACATAAAGGGAAGCAATTTCGTGGTACCTGCTTATCTTTGTCTTGAGTGTAGTTAGGTGGTTTTAGCTGTCACTTGTTTTTTAACAAAAGCAAAACCCAAAAGCCCCAAGTGCTGTGGGGAGGAGGGCAGCTCAGCACCTGCCCACGTGCCCAGCCCTTGGGCTGGCAGCAGCCAGCTCTGTCACGCTGTTGCCTGAGTGATTCTCTCTTTAACAGATTCAATCCCAGCCTCGACACCTGGCTCAGGTAGGACCCGTGTGACCAGCTGAATGTGCCTGGCCTTGCTGGCAGCTGACTTTTAGTTCTTAGTTTTGTGGCTGTCTTTTCTCTCCAAAAGTTTGCCGTGTTGTCTGGTCTTCCCGCCTGCCCAGCATATTTAGCTGTCACCATGTGACCTTCTCATCTGGTTTTTCAAGTGTAGATCACATATGCCTTTGCACAAACACTTTATTTCTGGGGGAGAGAGGGACTGGTCTCAAACTTCAGTTTTTCTTCCCTCCCCACAACCACTACAGAGAAGAACAGCCCCAGACACATTGTGAAAAGCTCTGTTACTTTGATTTCCAAAAGGAGGAGTCACTAACTGTGCCCAGTAACTGGCATCTTGTTTCAAAGGGAAGCAAAGTAGTGCAGGGGCCCTGCTTATCAGGCTTGGAAAGTACCTTTGAGATTCTCTTGAGCTCTGTGCTGAGAATAACCTGCTGAATCAGGGGCAAAGTAGAGCTTCAAGTTACCTCCCTTGTCATGAAGAGGGACAGTAGAAGGGGAATTCTCAGATTATTGCTTGTGTGATCTCAGATAAACAGCATCACCTCTCTGGGCCTGCATTTTACTGTTCCTGGGAACACTCATGCTGCCTCCTTGCAGGCACCTACAAGATAAACAGAATTTTCATGGTAAGCAAATCCCTAATAACAAGTCAAGTTGCAGTTGAATCTGAACTGTGAGTGTGTAGGTCTGGAGAGCAGAGATTGATTCCTTGTTGAAGCCAGTGTCCTGTTTAATCCCTAACACTGTTTACCCTTGATTCAAAGCCAGAAGGAACTCAGCAATAGCTTGAGTTGGCATCAGCAGGTGGACCAGCTCTGAGTTTTTACAAGTTTTAAAACGAATTCTGCTTGGAGACAAAGGGAGGGACCCAACGTTGTGCTGTGACAAGTGGTGTAAATAGACTTTAGGCCAACAGTCCATCCTCACTGGCTGAACTGTTGCCTTTCCTGTGACTCTGTCCACTGAAGCCAAGTTTTGTGCTATATGTAAGTTCTTGGAGCCGTCAAGTTTGTATTGGATTCTGGTCATTAAAAAAAAAAATACTGAAAAGAAAAGCTGAGTGCGTTGAGCTCCTTTACTTTTTGTTCCCTCCATTTCCTGCTTTTCTTTTCGTTTCCTACTGTTCTTCTGTGGTGCCCCGACAAACCTCCTGTGGGCCACATGCAAATAAATAAATAAAATTCAAAGTTCTCTTCAGCTTTGCAGAAGAAAACTGGGAGGAACATGAATGGCCCATGAGAGGAGAGGAAGAGGCAGTTTTCACTTCTCTCCTCTCCTACGCCAGCTCCACCCTGCAATTCACTTGCCCGTTTAGTGAACCCCAAAACCTGGCTGTTGTGTTCAGAATCCAGGGAAAGGGTTGCTGTGCTTCGTTTACAGTTTCTTCCTTAATTTGGACAGTGTGGCTACTCCATCCTGCAGTTCACGTCTTGGTTCAGTTTGGGGGAGGGGAATATGCTCACTCAGGAGCCTTTCAGCAGCCGTTTGGCAAAGCTGCAGTTTGGGTCTTGCTCAGATGTACAGTTTGAACATGGTTTGTTTCTTTGCCCTCTCTGAGCAGGTAAAGCCACGACACTGTTCAGCCGCCACACCAAAGCGATCGTGTGGGGGATGCAGACCCGGGCTGTCCAAGGAATGCTGGACTTTGATTATGTTTGCTCCCGGGACGAGCCGTCGGTGGCTGCCATGGTTTATCCATTCACGTAAGTAGCCTGTGACTGCATCACTTTTGACTGCTTCCCTCCAACTCTTCTGTGAGCTTCCCCCTCTCCCAGTCTCTGTGGTTCTTTAGTGGAGCTCTGCCCTGGACTCCATCCCTGCTGGAACACCTTCTCCTCCGCTCCCTTCCACCCCTGGCTTGGCTTTGCAGGCTGCTCAGTTTCCCTCAACCACTGATTTTGGGCTGTGCTGTTGAAACAGCTGAATGTTCACCACAGAACTGAAGTTTCACTTCATGTGCCTGTCAAAAGGTATCCAAGTTGTGTTCTTCACTCAGTGAGTAAGGCAGGTGTGACTGCCTGGGCTTTCTGTACAGCTCAGCAGAGGCAGGCAGGCTGAGTAAGGCTCCTTCCCTGCATCTGTTCTTTGACATGTGCTTGTCTGAGACACCTTGATTTGTGCCTGCAGCAGCAGGAATTTCCCCTCCAAATATTAGCCAGAATCATAGTCGCTCTGCTAAAGCAGTCTGGCTGGTATGTAGCCAAACAAAATTTAAAAAAAACTAAAATCTTATTCATGCTCTTTCCAATAGCAGCAGTGGTTCCTTAGCAGGCAGGAAGCCCATGGATCCTTCAGTGGGATAGAGAGTTCCCTGGTGGTGTTCACTCTCTTGTACTCATCCCTATGGGGATGCGAGGGACCGTTGAGTGTTTCAAGTTAGCCTCTGGAGGAACTTCCAGAGCATGGCTGTGTGTGAGCTGTTTCATTGTACCCCCGAGCGTGGGGGTCTCGCTGTGTAACAGGACAGGTAGGGAGAAGGGAAGCAGTGGCCGTCACTTCCAGTACAGTGAGGTGGGAGCACAGAGCCAGGCAGGAGCCTTGGTTCATTCCTGTGGTATTTACAGACATCCTGGAGAGCTGATGTCTAATCAACCTCTGTCCTGCAGAGAATTTCTCCTCTTGACAATTAAGACCTCACACTGTTACTCTGCAGCTCTGATGGTAATTGCAGCTCTGTAATAACTTCTCAGCAAGTGCAAACCTCGGGGTGCTGAGTGCAGGCACAGCCACGGGTGAGTGGCAGCCCCTGGCAGAGCTGCAGTTGATTACAGAAGAAAAAGCAATAAGGATTAAAGTTTAAGGCTACCTGTAATTATCTAATTCTGCTTGACCTTTTGGTGGAAGCCAGGCTGGCAAAACCTGGAATGTTCTGTCACGAATGTACCAGTATGGGAACACAGCTGGTATCTCTACACTCTTAAATGACTGCACAGTCAGAGTTAATGCAGGCCTGGTCGGAGCATCTGCTGTGTACAAAATACCTACAGTGAAACCTTCCCAGGTGCTTCCCTTCCAGTGCCTGTGGGGTGAGGAGTGTCTCACTGTAGCAGGATTGGGAAGCTGGCCCTCCCGTTGCTGTCCTGGCTGTTCCCCACAGATGCTGATTTCCCATTTCCCCAGCCTGGTGTTTACTCCAGCCCAGTGACGCAGCTTTGCACACCTCTCATTCATTACTCTCTCTGTGCCTCATTCTGTCTTCCAGCTTGGAGTAGAGTTAAGGCTCTGGTAACTTCACTGTGGGAGAGCTTATTCATCTTGCTGGATGCCTCTGTCCCCATTAGCCCGTCTCCTTCCATATGCTGCTCTGTCCTATACTCTGAAGAACCTTCTGCTGTCATATGGTCCCTCCCCACACATGCTCACGTGCTCGTGAATGTCTCAGTCAGTCTCGAGGGCTGAGCACGGGGTTTGTAAACTCCTCTGTCTGCATGCACTGTGTCCCTTTGCCTTTCCAGCAGCCTAAAGGTCAGGGCTTTTCCATCTTCTCCTCCACAGTGGTGACCACAGGCAGAAGTTCTACTGGGGCCACAAAGAAATCCTGATTCCAGTCTACAAGAATATGTCAGATGCCATGAAGAAGCACCCAGAGGTGGATGTTCTCATCAACTTTGCATCCCTGCGCTCTGCCTACGACAGCACTGTGGAAACCATGAATTATCCCCAGGTGAGCGTGGGATCCAGAAGAAGCCCAAGAGAAGACCCTTTCGGCAGGGTACCAGTGTTTCTTAAACTGTGATGGCATTAGTGAGTTGTCTTGATCTTCCAGCTTGGCAGATAAACACCCCAGTTCTAAGCCCTTACAGACTGTAAGGGAAGGTACTGGGGTTCCATCACAATCCTGATGCTGTGCTTGCAATTAGTGTAAGAGGAACTCGGTACCTCTTGGTTAGGAGTAACTACTTCAGGCTGATTAAAATACAGTGCTGCTCTGATGTGCAAGGGAGAGAAAATTCCCTGACCAGAGCATTGAGACTGCTGGGAAGATTATGACAGACTGTGGATCTGTGCACTGGGCCTTCCTGGATGAGAATGCGTGGAGTGACCTCCCAGGGGCCTGACAAGGGGCAACTTCTGTGGGTACCAATGGTTTTCTTTCTCTTGCTGCAGATCCGCACCATTGCCATTATTGCCGAGGGCATTCCAGAGGCCCTGACACGCAAACTGATCAAGGCAGCTGATAAAAAAGGAGTCACCATCATTGGGCCTGCAACTGTAAGTACTGATGGCTGCCTTCCCCTGTCTTTCTTAACCTTCAGATCAGCTTTTTCCAGTGGATGAAGTGCATCCTACAATTCGCTTTGTTTTTAGTCACGGGAGGTGTGTGTTAGTCTCTCATTTTAAGGTCCTTGCCATCCTCCCTTGTCTGCACAAATGCTGACAAGGCTGCCTTACAGAAACATTCCTCTGTTTCGTGGTGTTTTAAAGGGCTTTACATCTTTCTTGTAGGTTGGTGGGATCAAGCCCGGTTGCTTTAAAATAGGCAACACAGGAGGCATGCTGGATAACATCCTGGCATCGAAGCTGTACCGCCCTGGCAGTGTGGCCTACGTGTCCCGGTCTGGAGGAATGTCCAATGAGCTCAACAACATCATCTCCCGAACCACTGACGGGGTCTATGAGGGGGTGGCCATCGGAGGAGACAGGTACGAGTCGGCATCTTCAGCAGACTCTGGTTTTCAAGTCAGTCAACAGAAGAATCGTTGGTAATTTGGAGGAAGAAGGGCAGGTTGGCTGTTGATTTTTTTTTTTTTCCTTTCAGAAAAGTTTGTGAAATCAATTTCTACCATTTTCCCCTGTATTGCACACAGATATCCTGGCTCAACTTTTATGGATCATGTCTTGCGTTATCAGGATACTCCAGGAGTGAAGATGATTGTAGTACTGGGGGAGGTGAGTGAGACCACTTCACTCCTACCTGAGAAATACCAGTGTGTGATTTTGTTTTGGGAGCATCTGACCTGCTAAATAGCAGCTACTTATACTATTCTTGAATATCCCAATTTTTATTTCTTGCTGCTTTTATCAAAAAAAAAATTGCATGCATTCCACAGGCAAGTTTAGTCTTCACTACTTCAAAAAAAACCCAACAAAATTCAGGAAACTTTGTTCTGAGACTTCAGCTGTTACTTGGTGAAAAAGGAGGGAAAATCCCAGCAACGTCTCCAGTGTGTGTCTTGGAGCTGGTTTCCACAAAAGTGCAGTTTGGAATCATATCTCTCTCCCTGCAGATCGGAGGCACAGAGGAGTACAAGATCTGCAGGGGTGTTAAAGAAGGCCGGATCACCAAGCCAATGGTGTGCTGGTGTATTGGTACCTGTGCCACCATGTTCTCCTCAGAGGTACGTGCAAAAAGGGGAAAAACACATAGAATGAGGATAAATCCACAACAGGAAGAGAAACCCAATTCTCTCACTGTGCCTAAACCTTCCAGAATTGCCAGTGGCAACTTTAATGTGCAGAAGTTCATAAATATAAATGATAAAAGCTTTTTGTGCTTCTATGGTGTTTCACAGGAGATTTCTAGGGGATTCTGCTTACTTGTGAAGGGAGCCCAAAGTTCCCAGGGAATGCAACAAATTCCAATAGCCACCTGCTTCTGGAGTGGGAATGGGTGCCTGTAGTCCTTACTGTTCTCCCTTCTCCTATTTGTAGGTGCAGTTTGGCCATGCAGGAGCTTGTGCCAACCAGGCTTCCGAAACTGCTGTGGCAAAGAACAAGGCCTTGAAGGAAGCTGGGGTGTTTGTTCCCCGGAGTTTCGATGAGCTGGGAGAGCTCATTCAGTAAGTCACACTCACAGAGCACCTTCAGCAGAGACAAAAGCAGTCAGGGCACTGATTCTGACCTCATGGGGAATATATTCCTGCTTAAGGAAAGCAACTGTTACTCATTGTGGGGTTTTAAAGTCTGGGTTAGGACCACCTCGCTTGGATCCCTTAAAAGGACCAAATGGATTCTCTCCCTAGGTCTGTGTACCAGGATCTTGTGGCCAGAAAAGTGATCGAACCAGCTGAGGAAGTGCCTCCTCCAACTGTGCCAATGGATTACTCCTGGGCAAGGGTGAGCTCTTGGGTTCCTTGGAACCAGACAAGGCATTTGCTGGGATTCTGGATGCCGTGTTGGGGTTACACCTTGTGCTTTAGTGTTACTTGTGAGCTCCCCGGCTGCACTGGTTCTGAGCTGTGGAAGCTGCTCTGAGGGCAAGCCTCAGGCGTTGCTGTTTGCCTGCTCTGCCCGGTACTGCCCTTGCTGCCAGTGTGGGTGTTTAACATCCCATCTTTACGCTTCAATTCCAGGAGCTGGGACTGATTCGCAAACCAGCTTCCTTCATGACCAGCATCTGTGACGAGCGAGGGCAGGAGCTGATCTATGCTGGGATGCCCATCACTGAGGTCTTCAAAGAGGAGATGGGAATTGGAGGGGTTCTGGGCCTGCTGTGGTTTCAGAGGAGGTGAGGCAGCTCTTGTGAAAGATCACAAATTCTTTGTTTTGGAGTTTTCCTTGTTTATTAGTGGAGTTCTAAGCAAAAAAGTAACTCCAGGGTTCCTTTGTGAACGTAGATTCGCTGGAATGCCATCTCTGTAATCCCTCCTTTAGACCATGTCAACATTTCAGGCTACATACAATATGTTTTAGTCTTAGGATGGAGTTTTCCACAAGTTTTGTGGTGCATTGAGGAAATTTCTTTGTTCTAGGCCTGATTCACACTTTCTGACTACTTGTTTATTGTGTCACCTCAGCTCTGGAGAGTCTGGAGACTTGACAAGCATTTTCACTTGTGTTCTGTCCCCTGACTGACCCGGTGTCTGTGCCCAGGTTGCCCAGGTACGCCTGCCAGTTCATCGAGATGTGCCTGATGGTGACAGCAGACCATGGGCCGGCCGTGTCTGGGGCTCACAACACCATCGTCTGCGCCAGGGCTGGCAAAGATCTCGTCTCGAGCCTCACTTCAGGCCTTCTCACTATTGTGAGTACCTGAGATCCAGGAGGTTTAGCTTTTGTTATTAATTACTCTTCTAGGTTCCATTACTATTAATTTAAGATTTGAATTGACTGCAGAGCCATGGGCTGGTGATGTCTATTCATTCACACCTTGAATTTCAACTCTAATAGTCCAGTGCTCTCTGTTTCAAACTGTGTCCATTTTTCCAGTAAGCCAGAACTAGTTTGTCTCATCTGAGTCTAGAAGTATTTTGTAGCAGCCAAATTGCTGTCAGTATTGCCCCTGTTTGGTTGCCTGGTTTCTTCCAAGACTGACAAGTAAAAATGTGACTAAAACAGACTTTGGAATTGCATTTTCCCCCACAT